ATTGGTATTGGCACAATACACCTAACTAGACTACAGACCTTACTTTGATTTCAGCAGTTGTTGCAGGCACTCATTTGGGGGAGAGGAGTTGTGTGTGGTATGTAGTAATTGTGGTGATGGCTTTGTGCATGAATCTATGGCACTTTGACATATGTATAACCACCAGCACACTCAAGGTACAGAACCATTCCATCACCACAAAGAAATTCTCTCATCTTACGACTACTTGTGTAGCACTTCACTAATGCACTGGCTCAGCTCTTTCCTATGACCCAACTCCAGAGTAGTTAACAATCATTGATCTCGTTTAGGCCTTCTGATGTATTTCACCTTCTGTCTTTCAGGATAATTACTATAAGAGCTAAAACTATTTTTTTTTTTTTTAATTTGGGGAGCACTCTTGTAGTCCTAATCATATGCACAAAATGCCTTTCATAGCACTTATATAAGAACTGTAAGAAAAATGTATTTTCTTAAAAATATATGATTGCCATTCTATAAAGACATATCCACACGTATGTTTATTACAGCACTATTTACAATAGCAAAGACTTGGAAACAACCCAAATGCCCATCAATGATAGACTGGATAAAGAAAATGTGACACATATACACATCAAGGGAAACTATGCAGCCATAAAAAAGAATGAGTTCATGTCCTTTGCAGGGACATGTATGAAGGTGGAAGCCATCATTCTCAGCAGACTAACCAAGGAACAGAAAACCAGACACCACATGTTCTCACTCATAAGTGGGAGTTGAACAGTGAGAACACGTGGACACAGGGAGGGGAACCTCACACACTGGGGCCTGTTGGGGGTGGGGGGAAAGGGAATGGAAAGCATTAGGACAAATACCTAATGCAGGCGGAGCTTAAAACCTAGATGACAGGTTGATCGGTGCAGCAGATCACCATGGCAAATGTATACCTATTTTACAAACCTGCATGTTCTGCACATACATCCCAGAACTTAGAGAAAATTTTTAAAAAATATTATATGATTGAATGAGTTTGAAAACTTCAGTCTGATGTGTATTTAATAATTTGGGGTTATTTTGGAACACTACATTGAGATCTAATGGCTTCTAAACAAACTGACTTACTAAAAAAATTTAATGGACACCTACTACTTACAAAATGCCTGGTTATGGGAAATTATTTTCAGATTTTTTTATTATAATGCTTTTCTGTTGATTGAATACGTGTAACTTTTTTTTTTTTTTTACTTTGTAAAACATGTACCTGTAGAAGACTAGAAATAATGAAAATTAACCTTTTTACACACTTCAAATCCTAGTCAACAAACTTTCTTCCCCAGGGACAATCACTGTACTTATTTTTTGAGTGTTCTTCCAGAGATATTTCATACATATTCAAGCCTAAGGGTATGCAGAACCTTTTAACTGCAGTGGTTCTGAGCCTGCATTTTTGTTTAATGTTGTGCTTTAGAGATTGCATTGATAAGGAACACTGAGATCTGCTTCTTATTTTATATTGGAAGCGTAGGATTTCATTGTGTGGATGTACAACTAGAAGGCCTCTCATCTGGTATATGGTAGTTGGGAATTGTAAAAAGCGATCTCTGAGCATTTCATTGTGACTGTATTTTCCAGCTTTTTTTTTTTTTTTTTTTTTTTAATTAGGCCAAAGCTTTTTCATTGGATGTGGAGTCCACTGACAGGTGTTCAGTGTTCTCTTTCTTGCTCAGACTATACTCACAATGCATTATCTATAACTTCCATTTAGAGTTTCTGTAGCTGATATGAGAAATTAGACCCTTAAGAAACAATCTTAGGGCAAAACCCTTAAGGTTTTTACTGTTTACTGTTTGCCTTAGTGTTTCCTGTTGTCTTAGCCATACCCAATTCAATAGCACCTTCCTTTCAGTAGTTCGCTTGTATTGATTCTTCAGTTGTGGTAACAAACACATCTTACCCTTGATAAACATACCCCATCATAGGAGCAAAAATGTATGGGCTTATTAGTGGTATACTGCTAGTCAAAATATTTAATGTGCCTCAGCATCTGTTAATTTTACTCAGGAAGCCAAGGATATTGGTTAATTATGTGAGTCAGTTAAATAAATAGATTAATTAGCGCTTCTTGTGTTTTATAATTTTAGGTAACCATTTAGCAGGCATTTAAGTTGTTTCTGGCATTTTGCCTCCTACAGTGATTCAATAAATATGCTTAATCATTTTATCTGGACGTGGGCTTTTTTAAAAAAACACCTTAAAATGGAATTACTATGTCTGAGGAGATAGTCACTTTTTAATTTTAGTACATTTTGCTGAAAGAAATCTTAAATATTTTATTACCTAATCTTTCATGTTTAACTATAGTAAAGTATGATATATAAACTCTTTCTCTCAAAATTAACCAGTTTTATGTCTCCCTTTACTTCAAATTGATTTGTAGAGAGGAAAAACTGTGTTCATATGAATCATAAAACATGTTAATGGGATTCGAGAACCACTGAATCATAGAATTCCAGACATCTCACACATAGATGACTCACTTTCTGTGTTGTTTTGCTGTGTGTGTGGTTTATCTGGCGCAGTATGTTTCTCAATTTGACTAAATCTGATCATATTTAAACACTCTAGGGAGTTTGCTGTGTTAATGAGTAACACTGAAAAGCCTAGGCAAAGGATCTTTTCTTTAAAAAATGACTAAATTAGTACTCATCTTTGCATGTGTCCTGTTACTTTAGTGATCCTGAGTTAGCCCTTTCAACACTCGTTTGTTGAATAATTTCTGTGCAGAGCATTCTGTTTCCTTGGGTGATATATAATGGAATAAAAAACAAGGTCTTGTAATTGTGATTAGAGAAAGAACTCAGCTTATTGAACACTTTAACATTATTGGCACTATATCAACCTCCTTTTACCGGAACACCTGTTACTATTTTAAGGGCAAAAGTAATATTAAAATTATAGGAAGAAATGTTTGAAGAGACCAATGATAATTATATGTTACATACATTTTCCTTCACCCCCCACCCAGCCAGATAGGATCTTGCACTGTTGCCCAGGCTGGAGTGCAATGGCATGGTCTTAGCTCACAGCAGCCTCAATCTCCTGGACTCAAGCCATCCTCCTAGCTACTCGGCAGGTGCATGACACCAGCTAATTTATTTACTTGGTTTTTTGTAGAGCTAAAGTCTCACTATGTTGCCCAGGCTGATGTAGAACTCCTAGCCTCAAATGATCCTCCTGCCTCAGCCTCTGAAATGTTAAGATATGCCTTTATAATAACGTCATATGCTACAGCTAAGCCTTTTTTGGATTGCCTATAGATATTTAATCCCTTTTTTGCCTAGCAAGCAGGTTTTTACTTTAATTCTTGATGGTACAACTATTTTTTTCTTAAAGTAATTAACGGATTCCCAAACTAGAAAATTATTACAAAATGAAGTAAAAAGTTTTTCATTTGTTTAAATCTTGAAAACTGTAGTAGTAGTCTAATATGGTAAGAGGCCCCACAGTATAGCACCTACTTTAAATATGTTTATTTCTCTTAATAGCCTGAAAGTCAGTGGTCCAAGCTGGTGGGGCAGCTCTTTTCTGTAAGATTATTTACTCCAGATCTTATTGCTTGACAGCATGCTAATAATGTTGGCTTGTTTCAAAGGGGCTTAGTTTCACATGTGCCTTCCAGCCTGTGGGAAGTGGGAAACAATTAGCCCACTTCTATAGTAGTAGTCTTTTAAGTTGAAGATGACTTGGAAGTTGTGCTGCCCATTATTAATTTCCACTCACATACCAATGGTCCACACTAAGTAACAACTTCAAGGGAGGCTAGGAAATGTATTCTCTCACTGGGTGGCTAAGTGACCAGCTGAAATTTTATTCCTGTGGACAAAGAGAAGAACATAGTGGAAAACAACTAACAATTTGTCACAAAAGCCTTAATCAAAAATGAAGGATGTAAATTTCAGTATTTCTCAATAGCTTTTTCAAATGCAGCCAGCTCAGTAATACTCTGTTTCAACTTTGGATTGGTTATTTATGAATTAAAAATCCTTGAATTTGACATTACTCTAAAACCTTGCATATTGAACTGGAGAACACTGTTATTTTCTGGTAGGAGATCCATGAAACATGAATTAGAGGTAGCTTCTTTTCCTGGAGCAGGATTTTGAGGAGTATGTATTTTTTATATTGAAACAGACATGAATATATTTTGGAGATGAAAGTAAAACTGGCAGGAATGTCAAGAAAAAACTTTAAATTGCTTTAAAGTATAATGTCAAATCCCCAGAAATGTTTTCTTTTTTTGTCCTTAAGGGTACTCTTATGGAAACACTTTGATAAGCAAATCTTTGGGGTTGTTAAGGTTTATTTTATTCAATTAGGTTATTTTATTCAATTAGGTTAATTATACTGTAAAACTGCAGAAATATACTGACAAAAAGAAAAGATTAGTATGAAGTAAAGTTTTCCTGTATATATCAGCAGAACAAGCATCTTTATTCGAAGAAGCTATTTCTTTGTCATTTTAGATTTTTATTTTTATTCTTTGCTGCACTTCATACCGCTGCTTTAAGGTCAAATATTTCTTTTCAGGCTTTTGTCTTAGCAAGGAAATATCCTGTGTTTTTGCTTTGTTTTTTGTTTGTTTGTTTTTAATAGATACCAAGTCCTGCTCTGTTACCCAGGTTAGAGTTCAGTGGTGCAGCCATGGCTCACTGCAGCCTCATTCACTTGCAGGCTCAAGTGATTCTCCTTGCTGGAACTGTATGTGCATGGTACCATGCCTGGCTAATTGTTAAAAAACATTTTTGTAGAGATAAGGTCTTACTGTGTTGCCCAGGCTGGTCACACCCCCCCCCTTTTTTTTTTTTTTCCAATCGGGACTTACAGACTGGGCTAGAGTTATAGAAGTAATAAGTTGATAGTTAATAATGGCTTGTGATGGGGGGTTGTGGTGGTGGTTATTTAAACTATTATTAAAATTAACCTTATTTTAAAACTTATTTCCCACCTTATTGTCACAGGACAATGAAAAGCGAACCCCATTGCACGCTGCAGCTTATCTTGGAGATGCAGAAATCATTGAACTTCTTATTTTATCTGGTATGGTAACCTCTGAGTAATAACAACACATTATGTATATTTCTGTTATTCTTAATGTTTCTCAATCATAATTGACTACTTACTGCATGACCTGGTGGTTCATATTTGTTTTATAAGCTGAAACTTATTTTTGTATTTATTCTATACTGATCACATATCTTTTTCTGGGTGCATAGAGTACATTAAAGAACAAAACAAAGATTGCTGCCCTCTTGGAGCTTATACTCTGATAAAGAAAAACAAGCAATGAAAGTGAATTTTATAGTATATTAAATGATGATAAGTGCTTTGAAAAAATGAAAAGATAGATTAGGATAATGGGGGTGGGATAAGCACTATATATAGGGTATTTGTTTTTCTGGTTTGTTTTGTTTTGTTTTGTTTTTGAGATGGAGTTTCACTCTATCACCAGACTGGGCGCTATCTCAACTCACTGCAACCTCCAACTCCCTGGTTCAAGTGATTCTCCTGCCTCAGCCTCCCGAATAGCTGAGATTTACAGGCACACGCCACCATGCCCAGCTAATTTTTGTATTTTTAGTAGAGACTGGGTTTTACCATGTTGGCCAGGATGGTCTCGATTTCCTGACCTTGTGATCTGCCAGCCTCGGCCTCAAAAAGTGCTCGGATTACAGGTGTGAGCCATAGCGCCCGGCCTATATCAGGTGTTATATAGAGCAGTTATAATAGGCCTCATTGAGCACAGAATTATAGAAGATGGTTGCAGTTCTCCCAGGGGGAGGTAATGGTGGCTTATACCAAGTACAACAGTGGAGACAGTAAGAAATAATCTCCTTGTAGATATATTTTGAAGGCAATGCCAGAAAGATTTCTGTGTTCAAATAGGTTTTATCTAACCCCACTTGAGGTCATGTAAAATTTTTGTAGTCAATTATACTCCTTTAATATTTTTTCTAAACTATTACAATATGAAGTAATACTAGAACTCTCTATGATAGAATAGCTCCTATTGTGGTCAGACTACCTACAGTCCCAAAAAAGGCAAGCAGACAGTATTTAGAAATACTTGTGTTATAGCCAGGTGATTGTAATGTTATTTATTGGGAAAGAATGTATGTCATTTGTTTGAGCCTGTGTTGCCAAATCACACAAATGTATGCATAATGAAATTGGTTACGTAGTAGTATTCCTTTGATATTCTGTGGAAAGGAATGCTCAAAGGGAGAGATTTTGTGTGAAGATTTCATTAAATAGTAGCCCAAACAGAGTTTTGCCATTACAAATTCTTAAAAATTTTAAAGTCAGTTTAATTTTTAAGAAATGCCTTATTTCTGTAACATTTCATAATCATATAAAATTAAATATGGTTAAATATGGACCTGGCTTATATTTTGTTGATTTCTTTATGAATAATTTCACTGCTGATGTTCCTCCCTGAAGATGCTTGTTCCTCATTAATTTTCAGCTGAGATTTACTCAAGATAAGAACTGAGTAGGTTGAAAAAAATTATTTCTTTTAATAATATAAATTAATTCGACATGAGTTTATGGAATTTTCCACACAAACATTGTACAAGAAACAGTTTAGGACTTCGATAAGAAGTCTGCTGCTACATTTTTTATTTTAACACAGAATTCTGATTATTTTTGTTTTGTCATAAAGATTATTTTATATGATTCCACATGGAGGGTTTTTTTTTTTTCCTTTTTCATTTTTACACCTAGGAGAAGCTTTTCAAATGCTCAAAGTTGACTTAATCCCTTCCTTTTAAAAATGAATGTTTGCAACAAGGATTCTTAGTTACTTATAGAAGGTTGACTTCCTAATTTGTGTAAGTAAGATGAGCTTTATCATGAGCATGATACTATCTAGATGTCAGCTTTGAAATAAGTGTTTGAGAGAATGCTTAGTTTCTTCTGAATAATCCAAGCACAAATCATGTATAAAACTAACCATTGTACTTTTATAAAAAGTTATTTCAATTCACCTTTGAAAAAAATACCCTTTTTTTCCTTTGAGATGGAGTCTTTTGCTCTCTTGTCCAGGCTGGAGTGTAGTGGCATAGTCCTGGCTCACTGCAACCTCCCGGGTTCAAGCGGTTCTCCTGCCTCAGCCTCTTGAGTAGCTGGGACTACATGCCTGGCTAATTTTTGTATTTTTAGTAAAGCTGGGGTTTCACCATGTTGGCCAGGCTGATCTTGAACTCCTGGCCATAGGTGATCCTCCTTCCTTGGCTTCCCAAAGTGATGGGATTACAGGTGTGAGCCATTGTGCCCAGCAGAAAAAATACTTATAATATTTTGTCAGTTTTAAGAGATAATATAGTTCATGTAGATATTTACAAAGGAAAAATACAATTTTAGATGAATTTAGTTCTTTTCAGTTCTGAATAAAAAAATTAACTTTTTATATTGGCCTCAGAGCTGTACATTGTCTCCCCACCCCAGGTTTTTTCTGACTTCAATTTCTGCTACTCTTTTTGTTGCTCTGCTCTAACCTCACTGGCCGCCTTATACCTCTGGGTCTTTGCGCCCTGTTTCCTTAGCCTTAAACCTTCTTCCTCAGCAGCTTACACCTTGAACCTTTTCATGTCCTTGCTCAGATGTCGCCTCATCAACGAGATCTTACTTGGTCACTACCACCACTACCACCTAATCCCCACTCCTGTGTTATCTTTTTTTCTAGTGCTTATTGTTATCTGACATCCTTTTTAAATTATTTGTTTACTGTCATTTTCTCTCCTCCAGAATGCAAACTCCAAGAAGGCTGGTGATTAGTCTGCTTTGCTTTCCTGGCATATTTATTTGTAGTGCCTAGGATGGTGATTATAACAATATAAGTTTAGGCTGTGTCTTCTTTTCTGAAATTTGTTTACATTTTGTTCTGTTTCTCAAGTCTTTAATAGAAATGAGAATGGGAAAGGTGGGGATGAGTAGGAGTTAGGGGTTGAAGGGTAAGTGGAAAGGGAAAAAAGATGAAGATGAATGATGTGTCTCCTGTGAGTACAACTCAGGTTCTCCCTTAGACTTTTTTTCTCTTTAGACTTATCAACCTCTAATTTAAGAAAAATAAAACAAAAACTTACTTGAGTTTGGAGTAAAATTAGCTGGAGTAAAATCCAAGACTAGATTTCTATTGAACTAGAACCTTAGCTTTCTATTAACAAACAACGAAAAATAAAGAAATAAACCAGGCTTTGTGTTACCATGAAAGACACTACAGATAATGTGAATGGCACAATGTCTTGCCAAACAGATTTGGATGCAGTCCTGACCTTACCTCTTAATACCTCCATGATCTTTTGAAGTTTATTTTCTCTCTGAGCCTCAACTTCTTCACCTTAAAAAAAAAAAAAAAAGGGAATAATATAAATTTTATAGGCTTAAAGAAGCAAATGAGATTATGTCATTAAGATACCTAGAAAAGTCCCTGGCATATAGTATTCAAAATTGTGGCTATTATTTTTTTAAGCAACACTTCTCTTTTTTACTTTCACTTTTTTGGTTCTGCCAAATAAATAAATTCCTTGATGTCAGGAATTATCTTCTTTGTGACTTTTAGATATGCTTTCTTAAAAATTCTCCCCTGTCAGTTTTGAAGTTCAGTTATTACATTCTGAAATGTTAAAAAGGAAGGTATGACTTACCTACTGGAGAGATATGAAAAAGAATTTATTTCCACAATCTTGAAAGACAAAGGTTGAAAAAAATAGACTCCATATACTCTGGAGAAATGTATTCATATGTTTTAAATTCTGGAATCAAGAAACAACCTTTAAAGTTTTATATGATATAAATACCTTCCTGAACAGGGTAGGTATTTGCTCCCCTCAGCAAATTAGGAAGGGCTCATATAATTTATGGATAACAGAGTTCTAACAAGAAGATAGATAGTAATCAGGGTGTGTACCTAACCTATGAAAGTTGACACTATAGAAAATAACTGCCATAGCCTTTTATAAAAATACCCTTTGGCATAATTCAGGAAGGAACCAGGAGAGGTTTGTTTTGTTGTTGTTTGTTTGTTTTGAGACAGAGTCTCCCTCAGTTACCCAGGCTGGTGTACAGTGGCATGATCTCAGCTCACTGCAACTTCTGCCTACCAAGTACAAGTGATTCTCTTGTCTCAGCTTGCCAAGTGGCCGGAGTTACAGGGATGTACAAAGGCCCAGATGGTTTTTGTATTTTTAGTAGAGATGGGGTTTCACCATGTTGGGCAAACTGGTCTCAAACTCCTGAACTCAGGTGATCCACCCACCTCAGCCTCTAAAAGTGCTGGGATTACAGGCGTGAGCCACTACACTCAATCCAGGAGAGATTTTGAAATCTGAACCAGAAATCTGATCAGGAAGGAATTTTGGTTGGTGGATATTTCTTCAGTCGTTATATCCATTTTAAATTCCCATTAACTCTTTAAATTAAAAGGTGATCGGCCGGGTACTGTGGCTCACGCCTGTAATCCCACATTTTGGGAGGCTGAGGCATGCAGTCACCTGAGGACAGGAGTTCGAGACCAGCCTGGCCAACATGGTGAAACCCTATTTATACGAAAAATACAGAATTAGCCAGACATAGTGGTGGGCACCTGTAGTTCCGGCTGCTTGAGAGGCTGAGGCAGGAGGATCTCTTGAACTCAGGAGATGTAGGTTACAGTGAGCAGAGATTGTGCCACTGCACTCTATCCTGGGCGACAGAGTGAGATTCCATCTCAAAAAAAAAGTTGATTAAGACAGTTTTATAGAAGATATACTACACATTTTAGAAGTCAAGTATAAGCTAACTGGTAAATCAGTCAATATAAGGTAACTGGTAAAATCTATTTCCAGAGAATAGTAGGTTAGTACTACTACTTAGATTTCCAGAATAGTAGAGTAGTAAAAGACTAATCGTATCCAAATTTTAGTTTAGAATGAATAGCAGAAGAAAAGTCTTCAGACAGTATATAGTACATAGACTTATAAGGGTCTGTAGAGATGCTCCAGGAGTTCTGCTTAAATTTGATTTGAATGCCATTGTTGCTGAGGCCCAAGTTAAATTCA